TGTGGCCCCCCCTCACCCTTCTAATGCTAATTCATCACTGCTGAGTAAGGTTTGTTTGCATTCTCCAGGAGTGGTTAATTAACCAGGGTTTATTTGATGTATTTTTGACATGTTGCAGGGTTAGTGTCATTCTTCTTCAAGTTGGAAGTTGTGGTGTCCCTATTTCATAGATGGAGGGCTCAGTGAGTGAGATGTAATTGACTTCCATTGTCATTAGTCTTGCCACTGCTTGCCTTTCTCAGCATAATCAGGCCCTCGTGTGGCTTCATTGATTAGTTTTCCAAGATACAGTGTGTGAATTTTGTTCCAAATACAGAATTTTAAATAAGAGCAGCTTGCTTAGAAGGCACTGTGATAATGATTTAGATCATATGTTCATAGATTATATGGCTTCACCTAAACAATAATATTCAGACAGGAGAGGGTACTTTTGGAAAATGGATAGTTGCCATGCATTGATTTGGAATCAGTTGAGACTTGCAAATACTGACCCTGACTCTTGACCAGTATAGGTGGAGGGCACTTGTTGTTTTTGGATTTGGATATGCTGGCCTTATCTCCAAGTAGAAAAAGATACGCATTTCCAGATCATCTTAGAATACCTTTTCCTAGTGCAGATGTCTGTTGAAGGATGAGGCTATTCCAGATGTTCCAAATGCCTCTGCCTCCTTTGAATTATTTAATGCTACTGGCAACTTGTCTGTAGTATGTTTTTTCAACTTGCATTGTTTAAAATATGGAACAAGTTAATCTTGCAGTTGTATCTAATGCATTATCACAAGAAGCCTCTTCATAATCTTTAACCACATGAAGCTAATTCTAACAAGTTAAAATGCTGAACTTCAGGCATGGCTCACTCTAACTGATAGGTGTGTACCATTGGTGTAATGCACCTAATTAACCTCCTTTATTTAGACTATTAAGAGTAAATGTTGTTTGTAACTGGAAGGTTTTTTAGGTGACTTTACATGGTCCATTCACCACTTCTATTTTAATTCTGATAGAAATAAATAGTACTGTGGGAAAAAGGTCACGCTGTTGTCATCTCTTGCAGCTTCTTTCATGGCACAGAGAATTTTAAAGAAATAAAAATCAGCTTTCCTCGGAACAATTCTCTTTTCCTAGTTCTTCTATGCCTTTAGTCTTCTGCTACGTGCAACACTTTCATTAGCATAACTCAGGATTCAGAAAATCGGCACTAAACAGTTGTTTAATTGTTCTGTCATCTGTTAAATTAGCAGGCATTCAGTTGGCGGAAGACAGAGCTGACTACTGGGAGGTCAAGGCCCCTCAAAAGGAAGGAGGCTCATTTGCATCTTTTGGTGTGGAAAGAATTCAGGAGTCAGATGGATTATGAAGTGCCACCAATATTAATATGAAGACAATATTAATATTGATGTGATTATAATATTAATTGATGGCCGTATCAATATTAATGTTACAGTTTACCTGACTTCTTGATTATTTACACACCCTGAAGGTGAGAATGACCCTCCTCCCTTTTGATAGGCCTGGACTTCCTGGTAAATCAGTTTTTTCTTCTGGGAGAGGCAAGGATTTCTTAGGGTGATACCTTTTATTGTACCATCTATGTAGCTGGGATAAAGTTATATCCAGGTTTTTGAATATGAAACTTTCTTTGCAGCCCTGATACCAGACACAGTGACTTGTGCCTGGCTTCCTGTAATCAGAGATGCAACAAAGAATGTCTTGCATTCAAAAGCTTGTCTAGCTTTATCCTGGCTACTTAGTTGGTTCAATAAAAGATACCACCTTAAGAAATCCTTGTCCCTCACATATGTTCTGGCCCATTGGGTGACAACATCACTCACATATAACCTTTTTCTTCTGCTAATTGAGTTTTTGCTACCCCTGGCAACTTCTCTCAACTCCTCTTTACAGCTGCTGTGGTTGACTTGTTTTGGTCAGACATGAGGAAGAATGTGAAAGGCTGTATAACTCTGCACCAACTATATACAGTTGGTGCAATAAAAGATACCACCGTAAGAAATCCTTGCCTCACATTTCTGGACTGTCTTGGCTACAACATCACTCATACACATTGCAGGGGCTGCTCAAGGGACTCTATAGTCTAAATCCAGCATTGCATGATGGAAAGAAAAACAGCCAGTTCTGAAACTCTGATTTAGAAGATCTTGTTTAGATGTATACTCAGTAAAGTTGTCCAGATTTTACTGTTTCCACAAAAGCTGAGCTGTTTTATCAACCCAAGATGATGCTTGTTGGCTTTGTACCAGGATGGGGGCAGTGAGCAGAAAGTAGAAACAAGCTTCCTCTTCTGACCCCTTCTTGCTCATTGCTGCAGAAGCCTGGTCTTTTTCTGCTGCTTCTTGGGTTTCAAGCTATTAGTAGATGTTGCCACATGGGACATATAGCAGCAAAAAGAGCCATGCACATAGAAAGAGGAGAATTCAGGTTGGGAAGAGCAAACCCAGGCAGAATTGAAAGCCTTTCAACCTTTAGTGGCCTGTGGAAGACATGAGAAAGGTAATGTATAGAAATTTGTTAAGAGATTCCTTAGGGCAAAGCTCTTGCCTTAAACTGGGTGCTTTCTTTACGATTTTAACAAGTGATGGTGTAGTGTTGTCCAGATCAGTTGCAATCACTTCCTGCTTTCCTCAGTTTTTAGATTATTATTGTACTACATGTGCTTGAGAGTTGAATAAATTCTTCAAAGGCTCACAAAAGGGACTTTGGGAGAGATTTCTATAAAACTGCATTTGAAGTAGGTTTTGGGAGAAGGACATAGGGAAGGGAGCGCTGAGAGAAATGCAAAATCAGAAGGCAAGAGATGAAAGAGAAGCAGGCATTGGGAATGTAGATATTCAGCAGTTACCTGGTAGGGATTAGCTCTGCATTTATTTGAACCAGGGTTGCCAACATTTACAGTTGTTTGGCTCTTACCATAGTTTGCTATGTACAGCCACAAAATGGCTGCACTCTGGTTAATAGGTAAAGTGACCCCCAGCTTAAAACAAGAGATTTTTCTTGGTTAAAATGTAGTCTTTGAAATTGTGCAGTTAAGGAGATGTTGGAAGTTCACGTCACAATATTTGGGATTTTTGTCTGCAGTCTTGATGAGAGGCACGCCATGAGAGCAAAATAGCATTGTAATGTGAGATTTCCTCATTTCTGTGAACATGTAGGATTTTTGGCTGCCTCTGCGTAAAAACTGGATTACACCTTTAGGACAGAGATGTCACTAGACCATCAAGTTCTGCAGTCTGGTGATTTTTAAAATCAGGGTTTAGTGACTGTACCTTTTTGAATATTCACTATAATTCTGTTACTTGGATTGTATATTGGCATAACTTCATCAACATTTTTGACAGACAAGTTGGGAGCCAAGACTTTCTTATCTCTAAACTATCAACATAATGAATGTACTATTTTATACAAGGAAATAGTGTGCTCATAGGCAGGAAGTTGTTATTCCTAGTTTTATCCCTTTTCATGGTTACTGTATCAAAGTTTTTAGAGCATTAGAGCAAAGATTTTGACTGGCTGTATTAGTTCATAGAACTTTTAACCTGAGATGAGTTCTTGATGGGTTGAGCATTTTTCTTTGAATGTTGTCATTACTGAAGATTTAAATAACTAGGAAAAAATCCTGCTAGCCCTTCTTGAATGAATTTGTGGAAGAGTTCAGTGCAAAATTACTTGTAGAAAACTTAAGATCAGCTTTTTTTTATTCACTTGATAATACCATTGATTTAAGTGCTTGCATTTTACACTTCAGAGTACTGGGTTTAATACCTAATGACAGGCAACTAAATCACTAGCAAAACTTACAATAAGACTAAACATTTCTCTGGGCTGTGTGGAAACAGTTTAAACTAAAACTAAACCCTGATGTTTCATTTAATGACTGTTTGATGGTCTTAAACTCCCTTTTATGATGAATTTCCAAAATTCTGAGAATGTGAGGTTAAAAGGAAGGGGGAGCAACATCCTTTAGAAATGACAAAACAAGAGTGAATGAGAAGTTTTGGCCCCAAGATGTTGCATTTAATGCTGCAGTCTTGGGAGCAATCTTGGTTCAATATTTAGCTTTTATGTTTTGTATTTTTGTTGGTTTTTTTTTTTTTTTTTTTTTTACACTGACTGAAGAGCAGTTAGAGGAGTTTCTATTCAGAATTAAATTCCCTGCTGATATTTCAAAATAGTACCTTTCCAGTGTTTGCAATACAAATTGCAGACTTATGATCTTGTCTGAGAACATTTAACATTGTTACTGATTAGAAACTTAAATTACAGAATGTAACTAATTAGGATAGTTCTTTTCTTCAATAGAAGAAAAAATAGAAGTTTTAAAAACTGGTCTAAATAGAACAGCTAGATTTTTAAAGTGAGACTTTAAAATGTTGATGTACAGACTTGTGTCCTAAATTTGTGTTTAAAATCATTGTAACATGAAAGTACAAAGCTTGCATGTGTAATTATTTATGCAGGCAAGTGAAATGAATACAAGCCTAACTTTTTAAAACCAGGCTTCAAAATTCTTTTAATAATGCATAGTGACAATAGAAGCATAACAAAACTTTAAAAAAGAAGTATCGCATTAAATCATCTAATGTACAATTGAATTGTACCCTTGCATTAAAACATATTATCAGTTGATCAGTATTAAATATTTATGGTGACCTTTTGACACTTAAGCCTTTCTTGTTGATGTCTAAATATGACTAAAGATGTGTGAAATATAATAGGGCTTGAAATGTCAAAAATGACCAGTAAGTTTTCCATTCTTCATATTAAATTAGGCATAAATAGAAATTGCACAATTACCCAGTGCTAAGTTAGATTGAATGGACGTCTATGTAAAAAAAAGTAGTAAAAACTTAATAGTTTCAGTTCTTGAACTGCATATCTAGTAATAAAAAGTCCAAAAACAACATTTTTTTTCTAGTTTCAGTTTTGGCACTAGATTTTATCCTGGAGTTTTTAAATATTCTTCATCCTGTTCTTTTTCTATTAAGGTTAATGTTGAAGAAGGAAAATGCGGAAGTCGTCATTTGACAAGTTTTATAAATGAGAATTATTTGAAGCTCAGGAATAAGTGAAGCTGAAATTTGAAAAAAAAAGAATGTGAATGCATGCTAATTATCAGACCAGAAGTCCCACTTATAGAATATTGAGCAATTTGTGTGAAGTGGGGAAGATGAAAGAAGTCAGAATTTGAAACGGAAGAATGAAGAAAAGGAATAAAAATGAAGTTAAGATAAGAAGTAATCTGGAATCTGAAAGCACTACGCTAAGTAATTACTAGTCTGTTTATGTGTCCCTGTATATTTTGCTAAACATGCATGCATTATCTGTTTAACAGCAAAAGTATATGCAGGGTAAAGAAGTGCCTACCAGGAAAAAAACTTCTTAAAATCTAGGCAGTTCTAATTCCAACTGCCCGGACACATAATTGAGATTTTGCCATTTATTTCACTGGAGCTTGTTTACAGATTTCAGATCACCCAGAAATTGTGTACAAATTAGACTTTCAATATCTGCATGCAGGAATCCCGTTCTGCTTCCAGAAGCGGAAGTGCTCATGGGTCTGGCAAGTCTGGAAGGCATACTCCTGCAAGATCTCGATCCAAGGAGGACTCAAGGCGATCCAGGTCAAAATCTAGATCCAGATCTGAATCTAGGTGAGTTTACCCCCAAAGTCAGTTGGATTGTTTTGGCACTGTTGGGCTTAAGGGGTAAAGGTTACCTGTAGACATTTTGAATGGAAATGGTCTCGTACCATTTCTGTTGTGCTCTGATGTATACAAAGGGTCTGAAAGGTGTGAACTTCTTTTTTTTTTAATAAGGCAGCTAAAATACCAAGTTAGGGCTTGCTATTTCTTTTCCTGAGAGGGCTGCAGTCATTTGTATGGGTGGCCCTGCATCTTCATTCACATGTTGAAAGGGATTAAAAACCTAATAAAAATGATGCCGTTCTCCAGTTTAAACATTAACACAAGTAGTTCAAAATGCCCTAATTAAAAATCTTCCCCATGTCATCTTTCACTCTTGTGATGTCGTTACACTAATTTGTCAGTCACCATAAAAACTTCTAGGGCAGATGACTTGACATTTTAATTGTTTAATTTTAAAAACCAGAAACGAGCCTCATTGACAGGAAGGTGCTGGAAATCACACCTTTCAGGCTTTTTTTTTTTTTTTTTTTTAGACATTAAAAAATCCACAAGCCCAAGTTTTTCCTCTGCAGGTCATGGTTAACATACACTGGGATCACTTAAATGTGGCTTATGTGGGATACTGTTCTATGGAGCAGCATTTATACTTTAAATGTTTTAAGTAGTAATCTTTTTAGTTTGGCCACTGATGTATATTTTGCACCCCAAAACGAAGCTGGTATTTAAATATGAATTGCTGTAATGAATAACAAGTATTCTTTGTGCCCTCCAAATGCATAAATACCACCTGAATGCTTATACTTGGAAAAATGCTTTACTATTGTTTGCCATAATTAACTGTAAAGAGTTAGACTTCTGTGGAGCTTTTGAACACCTAGGGTGAAATAATGTTATAAAATAGTAACTGGAAAAAATGCTGAAGCATATTAAAATGCCAGTAGTGCCCTGTATATTGTTCTCACTAGAAATCTGCTTTTATTTCCCCCCCCTCCACTTGTGTGGGGTCAACCAATATTGTTCCCGGTACTGTCTTGCCTTTGCTACTTACCATATGTTTTTTTTTGCATGCAGTAAAAATACCAAATTAACTTTATCCATGCCATTATTATTGTAGTGTGTTTAGTGTATTTAACTCTGTCCCCTTTCCTTGCTGCTTCTGTGTGGTTTTGAAAGGGCAGTTGCAGCTAAAGGTCTTCACTTGTAGTTTTCATCTTGTATTCGGAAGAGAACTTTTTCTAAAATTGAACTTGAAAATATGGGATCAGTTTAATTCAAACAGTACTGTATATCCATCTGTTGAAAAATCTGAGCGGTTGGTGACAGTTTTGCACAGGGCTATTGAGAGAACTAGTTGTGGGATGAGAGGGTAAAATCTCATAATTTATACACACAGCCCACACCCTCTTAATTTTTGTGCCTTTTAAAATAAGTATTTGGGTAACCTGCAGGTCCAGCTAACGCACACCCCTTAAACATGCCAATTACTGTACATAAAAACAAGAAAATAAACTTCACTTCCTATTACATCTTTGAGTATAACCTGGCCTGCTTTTAAAGTCGGAGTTCCATAGGCTATGAAAGGTTGGTACTCTCCTGGGGTGAAATCAAGATACCGAACTATAGAAATTCCAGACTTTGAGTTCAATTGTTGTGCTCCAGTGTAGTCACCCAAAGTGCTGTCTGGGTCCTCGCTGGCAACATTTTATTTTTGTCTTTATGTAACACAGAGTCAGCACAAATGAATTAAGAATTAAATGAATTGTTAGTAACCTAGATAAATCAATGCTGACTAAAACAAGGAAACACATTGCTCAATACTTTCTAAATTTAATTGTATATGTTCAGATGTCACTGCACAGAGGTTTTCTTTGAGCTGTTCAGTGTAGCCTCTACTGCATAAAATGCAGTGATATGTTGTAAAATGAACCAATTAAAAAAAAAATGAAAACATGTCATTATATTTAGTTGGTGGTACACCTTTACCTAGCATGCTGTTGTGTTTTGCTGTGGTCACTAATACCTGAAAGCAGATCAGAGATGGATAATAAGGCATAGAAAGGTTTCTCCGATCATTGAAACTTTACACTTCTTCCTGAGAATGGAATGAGATGGGGATTGTAAAAAAAACAAAACAAAAAACTACAAAGTTAAGAATGGCATAGAATAGTAAATTATGCATTCATGTCTTTTCTATAACAAAAGAAATAGAAGAAGTTCAAGTAAAATTGAAAGCTAGTTACAAAATAACTACTTTGCACAGCATATAATTAACCTTTGGATCTCCTTGTCACGAGAGATCCAAGGATTGTAGTTTGAGGATCCAAAAAAGTTTAGCCATTTGTATGGATAAAGATGAAAGTTACATTTAAGCTAGATATAGATAGTAATAATTCTGTTTCAAAGCCTAACCTATTGCCTGGTGAGATGGGAAGAAATTCTCCTATTTATTCACACTAAGGTTTTATCAGTAGTTTTATTTCTGTTTATTTTTCTGAAGTATTAGTTGTCAGCATGAATTGGAAAACTGGACTAGCTAGATCATGTGTCCACTTTATTTAGCAAATCCTATGTTTTACACTATGTGTTCCTTTTGTTATACTTGTGAGAACTCTGGCACAGAAAAATAGTCACGAATTCAGATGTCAAGGTTTTGAGACAATTTATTGTGTCTTATACTAACTCGACTACAGTGGATTTGTCTCTCTGAAGCCTTCTGTATGCTCTTAAATTCCTGGTGCAGCCATTGCCATTCACTGCTGAAATTTCCTGGCTTGATATTCCACAGGTCACACTTTATCCCACGATATTGTGACTCGGTTGTTACATATGCTGCATATTTGTTGCGCATATTGTAACGTACCCAGAAGAATTTTGAAAGGAACTAGTACAGCTTTCAAACATCTAAAGTTTGGACATTTGATGTCACAATCTTAAAATGTTAGCCCTGGTTCTTGTGGAAGTCAGAGGCTTTGTAACAGAACTGTTCATACCCTGGGGACTACATGCTTTACCGTCTTGACTTTTGTTCACTAGGTGGTTTATGGCAGTCTGGTTTCACAAATATACAAAATAGTAAATGCTTTGAACTCAGAGTATCCTTTTTGCAGAACTTAAAACTCCACCGGTTTCACTGACTTGAATACTAGTATACCCGTGTGTTAATATAGATACCCAAGTTAATAACTTTGTGTCCAGTTCTCTTGCAGTACAAATGTGATCATGGGAAAATCGATTTGAAATTTGGTTTTTCCCATAAAAATACCAATCATGTTTTCATGCCTCAATTACTATAGCAAACATTTTGATAATCAATTCTGCTGACTTAGCTTTGGTTCTGAGAACAAAACTGGATTTTTGGTTTCAAGCATGATAGTCGCACAGAATTGCACACATTATTCCAACTGTACAACCTCACTTTAATGAAAAGCATTGTTTGTAGACCTGCAAATATATTGTCCATAGCTGTTTTTTAAAGGTTTGGAACTAGAACTTCATAGATTTCATAGACATTAGGGCTGGAAGGGACCTCAGACGATCATTGAGTCCAGCCCCTGCCCAAAGGGCAGGAAGTCAGCTGGGGTCATAGGATCCCAGCAAGATAAGCATCCAACTTAAACAGCTCTGACGAGAAGGAATAGAATTTAACTGTACAAGCCGAATAAAATTAGCAGTACTTGGAAGAAAGGAAGTCCTATCACGAGGCTTAGTCATGGCAGATGAATCACTGTTCTACTAGTCCAGAATTGTCCCAGCTTATTCTGTGAGGAGGACTAAATCTATAATCATCATTTGTGAGGTAGTGTACAGATTTGGAATTAAGTACTCCTGCTCTGCAGAGCTCTCTCTGAGGCTGAAATATGGCTTCATAATAACTATACATTTAACTTACTTATTACCTTACTGTTACATTCATTGGGAAAGTAAATGTTGGTTGCTGTTGTTTCTGTTTTTCTACCTTTTTTCTCCCTTTCTAGTTGATTTTTGTCATTTCCTTTTCCTGCAACAACTGCTTGTACACTTTTTATCTGCTTCCCTACTTCACCTCCTAATTTCATTAGATTTTTTGACATTAATGACATATAGTTAAGTTTTCATGCTAGTATTGCAATGACATTTAATTAGAGAAAGAAAACAGAAGGTTTTCTTTTATCCCAAATTCACTGTATATTGATGTGGTTGGTTTGTTGTTTTTTTTTTGTCCACTTTAAATTATTATAATTAGCATGTTAAAGATTTTCTTCTGGACTGTGAAGGCTGGAAACAAACTTTAAAAAAACCAAAGCCCATAATTTGTAAAATGAATGTTCTGTATAATGGAGGTTTGAAAACCTCTTATCTATTTATCCTCCCATATAGGTAGTGGGCATTACTAGATACTTTAGATGAAGGTGCAGAAATCATGTAAATATCCCACTCTTTTGTGATATCCTACTTTTAGAGGAGGTTTATGTCATAACTGTCAATTTAATGGTTGGAATATACTCTGAGCAAGGGGAAAATATGTTCCTACATGTGAGCATAGTTGATAACCCTTCCCTATTAGGCTGGACTATTTGCAGCCACTGTTACAGGAAGTTTTAAATGCCCTGAAACTTCTGGGTCTGGGGCTTTTTTCTTCTCCCAACAGGGCTTCTTTTTCTTCACTCCTCATCAAGGTTTTTTGTGGTTCAAAGGTAAACAACTTTGATCTTCAGATTCCATTTTGAATCGCAGAGTCTTGTGCTCATGGAAACAGGGAAGTGGCAGGTTAAATATCTTATCCTGATCTTGCATTAAGATGCACATGCCTGGCTGAGGTCTTGGGAGGCTAACATTAGACTGTTCAGGTTGCTAGTCTTTGGGCCAGTGTGAGTGGTTCCACACCGGGTCCATCATTTCTTGTAAGGCCCCCATCTCTCCTCAGGTCAGGTCATTAGTCTATTAAGAATGGAGTGAATTGCTTTCTTCTGAAGCCACGGGTATCAGAACGGGCAACACTATCCACTCCAAACCTGTTAAATATCCTC